TATTATCATTATACAGTTGCTTGCACTGTGAAGTTAGGCAGCAAGATCACAAAGGTCTGAAAGTAAAGAAAACAATATACAAAAAAAGAAAAAGAAAAACAAGCATTACAAGGGCATCGTAATAAAATATAATAAATAATAAATAAGGGTGGAAGGTCATTAAGGACATGGATCATCTGCACATCTGCTGAAATATTGCATAGGAGAAAAAAAAATTGGAGCATAATAAATAGCAGCGACAGAGTGGCTGTATGACTGTATGGGAGAGGTCTGCTCACACTCTTGCATTAAGAGTTCTGAGATGATTGAATGTTGGGGTGGGTACAGTTTCCTCTGCGGTGGGGTAGGGTGGGCTGCCCCGGGTCCTGTGGGGCTCTGCAGTGCTGCTACTGTAGGCCCCGGTGTGGATGGACCCTTGCCTTGGTGGGCACCAGAGGACGAGGGTGCCTACTGGGGTCAGCGGGGGAGCTGGCCCTAGGGAGGGGCATCCTCCCTCGTTTTCCTCCCCATCCCTGGCTACCTCCCTCTTCCCGCTCCACCACACTCACCCACACAGGTAGGGCCTTGGGGTGCGGGTGTGTCACCAGGGTGCACGGGAGACATTCCCCCCCCCCCTCTGTCCCCTTCTGGCCACCTGTGCCTCAATTTTATCTCACAACTTAGACATCCACATTACTTACACTCTCATAACACACATATATATGTAGGGCCTTGAGGGTGGGCACGTTAACGGCGTCCAGTGGACGGTCTGTGTACTCAAACCTACCTCTGGCACCGGTGCCCACCTCTCAATTTTAAATCCATGTAGACATTGAGGGTTCTCGGGAGGGGCCGTGCTAACACCTGCTGCTCTCTGGCAGCAGCACCATGCTCTCCCTTGTTTTAAATGCACTTTAGAACAACACGCAGCAACACTACACATGAGCGGGAGGAGGGAGGTATGGGGTCTTCACACACACCCCCGTTCTCTGCTAGCCATCGGGGCGGGGTGGCTGGGAGGAGATGTTGGCTGTCCGATTGGCCTCCCTGCTGCTGCGGAGCCTGGGACGGTCTGCTTGCCTCCACCCCGGGAGGAAGGGTAACATCTCTTGGGTCTGGGTTCTGGACCTGGGGTATAGAGTATGTTTGGGGAGTGTGATTGTGTGTATATGTCCATTTATGTCAATCCTTACGTTGGGTGAGTGCTGAGTGTTTGTATATGTGTGCATGAGGGTGGGAATGCATGTTTGTGTCTGTGTGTGCCTGTTTGTCTGTGTCTATATGTCAGGTCGGGTCTTAGACTCCACCTCTCTGGGAACTTCTAGGCCCTCCAAGGCCTATCTCCCCTCACCACACTCCCTGCCGGTGACTGATGCCCTCAGGGGTCGGTGCATTGGTGGTTCTTGGTGTCCGGGGCTGGGCGCTCAGGTATGTACCAGCTCACTCCCGGTGGTAAATCCATTGGGTCTCCTTGTTGGTCTTCAGACAACAATTCTGACGGCTAAAGAACCAAATGGGACAGGCAAAAAAAAAGAAAAAAAAAAAGAGTTCTGACAGCCCACGGGAAGAAGCTGTTCTTTAGTCTGTTGGTTTTGCACCTGATGGATCTGAAGCTTTCTCCAGAAGCCAGGATGTTGAAGAGGTGGTGGTCAGGGTGGAGGTGGTCACGAGCTTGGCTACACTTTGGGCCAGCACCTTCCCTGGCTTGCCCGGTACTGGGTTGCCATGCCCCAAACCTCATGAATCCAACATATAACGTTGGAAGAAATCCACAGCAGACCTGACCACGTCTCCATGCTTTCCAGCATACACTTTTATTTTCTGCTTTGGCTCTCGGAGGAGGCGGACGCACTTTTTCTCCTCTCCCTTATCTTCCCTGCTTAGTTCTTATGTCCTTGTCTAGTCTCGTGTTTTTTGTATTACTTTCCCTGGAACACTCTCTCACAGTCTGTTTCTAAAACCTAAAGAGAATTATGGATTTCATCAACTGGTCTCTGAATGCTATTGACACCCTTTTCTCAACGAGAAGTCTGGGCTTGGGAGAGCCCGAGTGCCCTGGAGGGACTTTCCCTGCCGGGTACACGATGGACGGGTGGCAGAACTGGAGGATCGTGTGCCTGGCGGGACTGTGGATCGAGGACGCTGAAGATATCTACCTATTCGGAACCATGATAACAGGGTTCTTGCTGATCGGAGCTGGCTTGGCCCTGGCTTATTGGAGAATTAAGAAAGCGGAACCGGCTCTTCAAACCCCCCCAAGGCTGCCCACTGGGATTGGAACGATGGGACGAGGCGCGACTTCTCAGAAAGGGCTCACTGAGTGCAGCATGGTTAAGCGCTTGGAGGCGCTTACAGCTGCAGTGAATGCTCAGAATAAGACCTCTGAGTGTATATTGGATTACATCAAGGAAAAGTCCACCCGGAACAACACCTCTGCGCGGAAGTTGGATTACATCTTGGAACAGCTGACTGCGGTTGTGAGGTCTCAGAATCTGCCTTTTGAGCAAAAGAATGACAACACCACGGAACTGAAGGTTAATAACATCATGGAGAAACTCGCGGCTATCCAACGGGAGATTGAGAGACCAGTGTCGGAGTGTTAAAGAACAGCTTGAAATTCTCATGAGTTGTTGCAAAAGAAAAATCACCATCATAATGCGGTTACCCCTTCGGCGGCAGCTGTGGGCTCAAGGCTGGAGCTGAACAAAAACTCCCTGATAACGACTGTGTTGAGTCTGTTCCTTTCCATATGGAAAAGATATATATAAATCTTATAAAGTTTGTATCTGTCTTGTGTGAAACTTGTATGAAAAGCATATAAGAGTGAAAACAGATATAAGATCCCTTGAAAAATTATATGATGAAACTTGTATGTTTTGGATACTTACTAAAACAATGTATGAAAGTAATGAGAAAGTGGCCACTTTCATGAGTAATCACATATAAGTTTTTACAATTTCTTTTCCATATGGGTTCCCATTCCCTACAAGGCCGCCAGGGTTGGCTGGAAGACTGTTTACTTAGCCTGGCAGGGCGAAGGACACTGTCTCAGCTGAACTATGGACACGCACACACATACTGATACTGATAAGCACTCACCGACGTATCACCCTCCCTACCCCGGATCCAACGCCACCTCCAACGCTTACCTCCCCTCTGATGTGGACATCGGGTCAGTTGGAGGCGCAGTTGAAAGATTGCAGCGGTCCCAGATCAGATGTACACACTGGAACTCTTTCCCATGTTGCTGTCTGTGTTTATTGTGCTATGATGTGTTGATATCTGTGCATTCCTGTATTATCCTTTTGTGTTACACATTTTGATGTTTTTTTCCTTGCTACCTAGCCTGACCTGTCTCCCCAATGTGATGTTTGTATTGTATGTACGGTCGGCAAGGTCTGTCAGCTCGGTTGTGGGCAAAAGACCTGCAACTGACAAATAAAGGCTATCTCATCATCATCTCATCTTTTATTTCTGGTTGCTGTTCTTTACACACACAGCTGCAGCTTTTCAGCTCATAGCCGAGCACATCACCAACAACACCAACAACAACCCTCAGACGGGACCCAGTTCTTCCTTTTATGCAGGTGAGGCGTGATTGCAGATGTCGTTCAGGTGTGTTCACCTCGCTGCAGCCGCGCCACTGACCACGCCCCGCCACAAATGTGTAAAACAGAAACTTCTGTCTTAACCAAAACTAATCATCAGGTCTTCACATCTCTCCACTTTAGAATATTTCATTCATGTTGAACTCCTTTATTGTCTCTCATTAATGTTCATTTTTACACTTTTGTACGAAGTCTCCATTTTTTTCTGTTTCTCTAATCATGCTCAGACTGAGGCACTGTACTTTGGAACAGAGTTAGCATCACCTGTATTCTCGTTAACCTCCCACTGGGTTAAAGCATTGCGTGCTGCATTAAAAGGATCAAAGTTTAAATCGCTTCCTCAGCTTTGCTTTAATCTCTAACCTCTGAGTGGATCCTCATCTTCCCCAGTTCTCGACCGTCAGCTGACCCTCCTGTTCTTCAGTAGCTGGTAATACTGGTCCAACACGATAAACATTAGTTACAACCAGTCTGTGGCAAAGGTACTGGTGTGCAGGTTTTCAGGTTTTGGTTACACCATGCACTGACCAATGTACATTTTAAAAAGGCGGAAGATTCGAGGCAGAGTCCAGTCCATTTACACTGTCTGCAGTCAGCTAGTGCGGGGTAGGTTTGTGTTCGTATTGCTTCACGATGTCTACAGTGTCCTTTAAAGGACTTGGACTTGGCTCCATCTCTGGACCCCCCAGGTTCCTCTCTGCGTCACGGTCACTGTCTTTGACCTTTAGCTGATATAAACAGAGTTAATCTCCCTGTGAGCTGATTAACCATTTATCTGCTCAGGTGAGGTAATGAACTGCACATGTCACACAATGATGTATAACACTGGAAAAATACTGCAAGAAACTCCCCCCAAAAAACTATAAAAGAAAACTGTAAAAATATCACAATAAAAGCGATGGTACTAGTGATAAGACCAAAAAAGTAAAACAAAACACTGTAATAACATCCCAAGGAACTTTAAATGACACTTTTTTTTAATAAAGCACAATAAATACTGCAAGAAAAACACCAAAAAAAAACCCTGTAAAATGTACTGCTAAAGATAGCTTGGAAAGAAAAGCTTCTTCAGTTGAACAGAAGAAGCTTCTCGGATGAGAGGTGAAACGTCTTCAAGCAACTTAAAGAAGTCCAGACGCTTTTCTTTCCAAGCTCCTTAGACTACGATGACCTGGATGACTGAGAACCTTCACAGACATACTGCTAAAGATGTACTTACAAAAATGTAATGTGAATTTAATATAAGCTGTAAAACACTAAAGTATTTCACACCTGAACACCTAAGACAGCACAATAAAGACCAAAGCTGAAGGTTTTCTCACAGTAGTTATAGATATCTAATAATATATAAATATATTTTTATGTTACGTGTTCCAAAGCTGTGTTTGATAAAAGATGAGTCAGACAGCTTGGTTTCAGTCACAATCTCTTTATAGGTTTTATCATACACAGAACTAGAAGCTCCAACCAACCCACAACAACTGACTGAAGACATCACTCTCTCCAAAGAAACAGAAACATATGATGCTCTATGCAGTGGACTTGGCTTTAACTACAAATCTGAGAGCAGATTTCTCTCTCTCTTTCCTGTCCCTTAAATAATCACAGGTTTCAGACCTTACAGAGAAAGAAAGCAATAAAGGAAACGCCTCATAACCAATCACACGATTGCCACAGCCCATTTTTCAACCTGAATTCAGTCTGCCGGGTGTTCTTTCTGGACATGTCACCCACACCTGCAGGAATAACCCATCTGTGATGGCATGTGTTGGACACAGCTTTGCTCCATTCGTTGTGCGGTTTGAAATCACACTAGGAGCATTTCGTCAGTGAGGGGTATTAAATTTTTTAAACTGCAGAGACAGTCAGTGCTGTTAACTCACCTGCTCAGTGCATAATGAACAGACCCAAGCAGAAACACACTTAACTTGTGTTAAGGTGAAGCATTCGGTAGCCATTTATCAACAAAGACTTGATAAGATGTTGACATTTAAAAAAAAAGAAAAGAAAAATAACGACCACATCAAACTGACAAATGATCATTTTTATACCTGTAGTTTATGTGCTTAGCTCTGTATACACCTGTGCACACCGGCCTTTATAATAATGTAAGATGTGCCGTTTCTGTTAGTCCTACATCAGTTACATTAACTTTACACCTGTATATACACCTGCATGTGCATGTTTCGTATACAGGCAATAAGTACAGCTGTGTGAACACCATCTGAGCCTCTGTACTGACAGGAGTTTTATACAGGAGTCATGCTGCTGTGTATGAACCTCTGTCATTGCTGCCTGCTCTCACAGATGGCAGCACTGGTACGTTGTGTGCTGCTTAGTGGTTTGTTCTCTCATGTTAAAGTCTCCAGTGATTGCTGGAGAAAGCCAGCAGAAATGACACACATTCAAACATCTGGATGTAAGAAATAATAACTAGGTTGATCTTTTTACACTAATGATGACGTCGATGGATCCGTGCTGTCTTGGCTGTGTGCTCCCTGCTGGACAAACACGGAACTGCAACACTCAGACACATTGGTGGGAATAGACTCACTGGGACCCGATGCTGTCTGATGGTCTAACCACCGCCTGACAGGAACTGCTACTCTGAAAGGGGTGATGATGTTTTAATTACAGGAGCACGTTCCTCTTTTTTAAAAATAAACTCTGTTTAACATATTTACAGAAAATATCGACATTCACAGGAACTTCAAATGTTCACATTAATGTGCATGTGTGGCTTATATACAGTTCTTTTCTCCCTCTTATGGGGGGAGAGATGGCATTTGAGGGGGGTGAAGAGAAGGGGAGACATCAGTCCTCTGTGGTGGGTTTGGCTATCAGGTGTTGGCCTCTGGAGCATCTCCGCCTTCCACCTGGTTGGTCCTCCCAAAGGTCTTCAATTTGGTGAGCAGATCGCTGAACGTCTCCTTGACGCCCTTCTCGAGCAGCCAGCCCTCACTCTCACACTCGGGGTTCTCCGGCTCTGCCATCGTCTCAAGCGCTGTGCTCAAGTACTTCAGCCCTGCCATGTCCACAGACTGACATAGACACACACAGCTCACATTTATGGCAAATCCAGGAAAAACCCATCCAGCCAAGTACATGTAATATTTTATGACCTCATCATTTTAAGGTGAATCTCTGGTTCTGACCGAGTTTTAAATCCCTACAGTCCCCCCAGAGAACATTGTGGTGACAGGAATGTTGTTTGTGGTCATTTTTAGTTGGTATTAGTAGTTTTGTTTTGTGCTCATTTAACCGACTCTGTCAAAAGAAATGTGAAATTTTCTGTTAGAAGGCTTCAGTACAATTTTGGGCCCTTTTATTTTCTTTAGCAGCACCCTAACGACAATTACACATTATTGTTTGCTTTGTTCAGAGAACAGCGTGAGAGCCTCCGAGTGGCAAATGGCAATATCATGAGCATACAGTCACACTCTGCTTTATTAAGATCATAGACCGAATTGCAAACTACAGAGAGCCTGGTACTGAACCCCGAGGCTCGCCCTTTAAACTGAGGAGTGAGGAAAAACTGAGTTCAGGATGTTGTTTTTTTAACTTAAGCCTTTCAGGTCAAACATGTTGTTTTGACCCAGATTCCAACTCACTTCTCCCTCTCAGGAAGTGTCCCTCATCCTTATTTTCCCAGAATGCAACCTGCTGTTTCTGTGGACAGATTAACCCCCCAGAAATAGCTCCTTATCCTCAGTGAGCCTGACCACCACTTAATGTGACATTTCACCAGATGATCCACCTCAGGTCCTGAGTCACGTATGAGCACAACAGAAATCACACAGTCACAGCCACAACAGAAACAGTCATGCAGAGAATGTGTGCGTTTTCATGATGCAGTTGGAGTCGCACAGAGAATTTAAACAAAAACGGCCTTTTTAAATGGTGTGTGCCGTGTCGTGATACAGCAGCCGCTCAGGAACATCAGTACTAATGCTAATCCCACACCAATCAGTTATTCTGTTAACCTGCTCACTCTGCTGAATTTACTGCAGGGGTGCTGCTGCAATGATCTCGTTCTAAATCACAAGATTAGGAAGAGAACTTGGAGCCTGGATTCACCCGAGAGAGAAAGTCAAAGACTTAAGCCTGTTCACTTTGAACAAATGAGTTAAAAACAGCACCAAACACACATTCACTGATTTTTTTTCCATTGCTTTTTCAAACAAAGCACCCGGCTTTAGAACAGCCACATGCCCGGTTTCTCCTGTACAATGTGAAGCTTTCATTAGAGCAGAAGGTAAATAAAGTGAAACTAACAAATCTGAGATGCACTGACAAGTTTGACATTAAAACAACAGAAGATATGCTTAGGTTAGGTTTCAGCCTTTCATTGGCTGCTTATTGAAATAATTTGTCAGACTAGATTTGATATGTTAGATGAGCAGAAGAGCAGCTGGAAACTGCTAATAAACTGTAGAGCAACGCTTTTTATTTCTGGGTCTCACGCGCCATCACAGCTTCTCAGACATTTGCAGATGGAGTATGTCACAGGACCAGGCTAGCTGTTTCCATTCAATTTTAGTCGTTATGTTGCAGCTTCAGATTTTCTAAGCTGAACATCTGAATCAAAGAGATGTCTGTTTGGCTGATTGGCTGCAGTGGAATGTGGGTGGGGTCTTACCTCCAGGATGATGGCAAAGAGGACAAAAACACCAATGCTGCTCATCAGGCTGCTGTAATAGGAGAAGAGGGCCTCAAGGCAGCCCCGGGTCCAGATGTTGAGCTCCTCTGTGCGGTGGTCATAGTCGTAATGAGCAGAGTTATTGGTCAGGTGGTGCTGGATGCAGGGCCGGGGGGACCCGGGGTTACAGCAGCTGAATGGGACGCTGTCCATCAGATACTTCCCCTCCACGTTACTGAGGACTCGACTGCAGGCCAAACACAGGTCAGAGGTCAAACAAAGCCAGCCTGGGGACTGAGGAGAGATTAGCGACGACCCCCCCATTGCTCTGGAAATGGGTTAGTTAAATCTATGCTGAAATGAATGAACGGTTGCAGCACAGGTGACTCAAGACAAAAGTAAGCTAATAGGAACTATACGTTACTACAGAGACTAAACCAAAGATCAATAAAATACGGCAAGAAGTCGACCAATTTTCCTGAGTTCCTGAACTTTCAGAGAGGGCAACCCTATGAGCAAGAACCATGTGGAGGTGAAACACTCACTGGCCACTGTGGAGGAAGGCCTCCATAACAGTTATGTTTGCAAGGCAAGGCTGTTTGCATGGAAAGTAAGAATTTCAAAAGAATCATAACTGAGCAGAACATCAGAGCCATAACTGAGAGGACCGTCAGCATACAGCTGCACTCTGCTTTAATAAGATTATTCACTGTGATGGAAAACTGTTGAGGACCAGGCACTGAATGCTGCAGAGGAAATGTCTCTTATGGCAGCCTTCCGCTCAATTTAAGTGGAAGTAAAGCCACGCAAATGTTTCATGACAACAGTGAAACTCACTACAGTCTGCACCTCTGGATGATTTATCTGCTCTCCAAATCTGAAAACTGGTTTGCCCTTTTGGAGGAAGGTCATTAAGAAGAAAATAAACTCTCCCTTTTCCTGTCACGTTTAAACTTGTTAGATTATCTTGGAGGGTGATGTCAAATTTAACCAATATGTTAAAAATATTGGTAAATTTGTCTATGGATGGTACTACCAGATGTGATCAAATTATCTGATAAAAATCATCATTAAACGTTGCAGTTTTAGACTCAAAGTGAGAAAAGTAGAGTAGAGTACAAAATAGTCCATTAGACGTTTTAGTCAATCGGAAACCTTATGGCAAGAGCATACAATATAATTTATATCCCACAATTCAACTCAGCAGAGACACTGATGGAGAATAAGACTGCTTCGTTCAAATATGAAGAACAGCGACATGTAAAGTTTTCACTTTGTCAGATGCAGTATGTTATTTAACTTGTTAATTGGTACAAGCTGTGGGTATGGCTTTAAGTTGGATCAATTATATTAGAGAAAAAAAAAATCTCTTTTAAACACATTAGAACAGAAAACAAAATAGTTACAGGTTTGCCACTATTTCAGAGCTGCAGCCAATCAGACGTGTTCATTTCTGATCAGAAGCTGTTTCTTTAATGTCCGCTTTGCTGTGTTTAAGGATCAAGTGACAGATTAGAGTCTCAGAGGAGACGCCCCGCATGAAGCTCCTAAACGTTGACTTTTACCTCCTTAAGACCTCTCTGATCCTCTGCTGAGCCCAATGTTTAATTCATCTGAGAAACTAATGAATAAAACCTGAGAAATTTAATTTAGAAATATCTGAGGTGCTCAGTTCAACGAGGAGCTGCTGATCAGACTTGTGTCGTGATCCCAGAGACACTTTTCCCGAGGCTGCTGCTTTGTTAAAAATTGATGAGTTTGATTAAAATATAGAGGAATATTCAGATGGACAATTTCTATAGAATAATTATGGATTCATCTAATAGAATCAGGTGCCAGCTCTGTGTGTAAATTCTTAAACAGCAGATACATTATCCAACAACATCGATAACTTTTCAATAATGGCTCCACGTGACCGGCCACCCCGCTCAGATACTCACTCTTTGACCACATCGTTGCTCATGTCCAGGTAGCGGTTGCTGATCCACTGAACCTCAAACCAATCCCTGAAATTGTTGTTCCCGCAGCAGTGGAACTCGATCTGCGTCATGTCCAGCGTCCTCTTCATGAAGCAGCGCCCTGGAGTGTCCGTGTCCTTGTAAAACCGGATGGCGTAACTCAGGCCCTCGGCCAGTGTCAGGTATACGGAGAACTGCATAAGGAAGCAGAGCAGCGACACGAGTACCAGCAACACGTTGAAGCCGCAGCACAGCAGCAAATATGTCTTCAACATCGGCTTCCATTTGGAGAACTTGATGGGATCCAGAGAGTCATGGCACACCTTCCCTCCAAAGGCATTAAGGCCGCAAGCCAGCAATCCCACCAGGATCAGCAAGTTGGGCACCAGGTGGCTCTCATTGTTGTCCATCATCTCACTTCTCTTCCGCAGCTCAATCTTGAAGAAGATGCCGAGGCTGAAGATGAGGATCCCTGCGATGACTGAAAACCAGTAGAGCATCCATAGACCCTGAGCCAGCTTGACCCGCTTCTGCAGGTTGAACTTCACCGGCATGAAAGGCATTTTAGCAACTCTGAGAATTCAAACAGACACTGAGGGTCAGGATTCAATAAGAAGCAGCTGCAGTTCAGACTCAGATTCAGAGCTTTACTCGTGAAAAAACAACATCTACTGGTTTCAGGCCCATAATGCTGAGCTGCAAGGGGGGACAGTCCATGTTACTGAGGGAGCAGAGGAGTCCACCATCAAACACTGCACAATATTCACACAGACCAAGTGAGTATTTCCTGCAGGATGTATGGAGGTGTGAATGCGAGCGTGCGGCAGCTCGTCATCCTAAAGCCTCCTGAGCTCATTATCAGCAGATCAGCTGCTGCCTCTAATCCCTCCTCTAACTCCTAATTGGTTTGATGTTAAGCAGCTGCTTCCTCCTCACTGTCACAAGCTTCACTGAGCAGAGTTCACCTGCCTCACCTCAGGGCAGGGTAGTCTCAGTAAGCAGTCCAACAAACCTCCTGTGAGCAGGAGCCTGAACTCTGTTTAGTGAGAAAACTTGTATCTCCGTGGTAAAAGATGCTGTGCACATGCACTGAGCAGGTTACATTTGAGAGAACTTGAAAACCCAGAGACCCAGGGGAGCTTACTGTGCAGGTACACAGAGAGTTAGGCCATCTCACAGTCCTGGTGTTTTGTAGAGATCCCAAAGCAGAGACCGAATACAACAGAGCACTTCCCGATCTGAAGTCAGGCAGTGATTTTACTAGTTTTTAAACTATCAAGGCTTACCAGTCAGACTGTTTATCTAGACTCCACACCTTCGTGTGATGTCCACGATGCTCTCATACCTGCAGAAGTGAATGCTGAAGGCTGAGGATGCATTTGCAAAGTATTGTAAAGAGAAACCATCAAACACAGCACAGCTGCCTCTCTGAGTGACCGCTACTGTAATAGATTGAATTGTTGCCCCCCCAGTGGTAAAATACAGAAGTGCCTGTTACAGGGCTAGTTCTTGGTTGACCAATATATAACAACAAAAAAGGGTAGTTTCTGCACCGCTAAGAAACAACAAGTTAGTGTGTGATGTCCTGCTGTTCAATAAAGGCACCTATCCACGTCCTTCTGTCCTGATCTTTTCAAGAGCCTAATCCAGAATATCACAACTGGCGACAAGGATTCTAAAGATTTCCACAGCGTGACAGAGGCTGTAGAAGGGCTGTGTTCACATGTAAAGAAAAATACAAACCAAGACGTTTTCTTCACGGCTGCAGCGAAACAGCTTTTGGTGAGCTAACATGGCGATGCATGTGGGTCGTGTTGAAGAGTATAATGAATCGAAGGAAGATTTTGAGTCATATTTGGAGCGGTTGGAGCAATGGATGTTGGCAAATGATGTTTCCGATGAGAAGAAAGTGTGCACGTTTCTCTCTGTGATCGGAGCAGATACATACAGGCTGCTAAAGAATCTTGTGTCTCCGAGGGTACCGAGTACCATGGGATATGCAGCACTGACTGGAGCGTTAAGTGCGCATTATAAGCCGACTCCAGTGGTGATAGCTGAGCGTTTTCGTTTTCAGAAACGTAACCAGAAAGAAGGGGAGGCAGTTTCTGACTATGTTGTCGCTCTGAGGCAGTTGTCAGCCACATGTGATTTTGGACAATATTTGGATGAGGCCCTGAGGGATCGTTTTGTTAGTGGGCTGCGTTCTGATGCTGTGCAGCGCAAGCTACTATCGGAAAAAGATCTTACATTTCCACGTGCATGTGAGATTGCCGTATCCATGGAACTCGCTTCGAAAAATACGATGGAGTTCTCAGGACGCCAGGACCCTCACCACGTAAATGCCTTGACAAATGCTCCAAATTTTTTCCAACAAAGGATGGAAAGGACAGAACAGGCAAGAGGGCAATAACAAGCCAAAGAACTGGAAGGGACCTAAAAAAGACACAGGAATGAAGCAACCATGTTATCGTTGTGGTGGAAAGCATTCAGCACGTGAGTGCAAATTTAAGAGTGAAAAGTGTCATGTTTGTGCAAAAATAGGACACACTGCACGTGCTTGCACGAATAAAAAATTCAGTCAGCAAACTCAGTATTTGGAAACTGAGGATGAATGCTCAAGTAGGAATGATGAAGCTGAACTTTTTGGAGTTTATTCAATGTACTCCATCACCTCCAGTGAGAAGGGATACACAGTGGATGTTGCGCTTGGGAGCAAGAACACCACCATGCTGCTGGATACAGGATCAGCAGTGTCGGTAGTATCAGACAAGTATTATCAGATACATCTCACTCATTTCCCTATAAAACCAGCCAGTGGGCTAAAGCTCAAGTCCTTCTCAGGCCAACACATTGCTGTGCGTGGATATATTATGTTACCAGTACAGTATGGGACTCAAAACATCACCCTACCACTGATCGTTGTTCAGGGAGACAGACCAGCTCTGATTGGACGAAACTGGTTAAAGAAACTACAGCTGAACTGGAAACAGATTTTCACAGTACACAAGGTACTGGTGCAGAAAGAAGCAAAGCCAGGAGTACTAGAAGTGATTCAGCGCCATCAGGCAGTGTTTTCGGATGACCAAGGCTGCATAAAGAGATTTAAAGCTAGAATCCACACTAAACCAAACACTGCACCAATTTTCTGTAAAGCTCGCCCAGTTCCTTATGCACTAAAAGAAGCTGTGGAAAAGGAGCTGGACAGATTGGAAAAGGTGAAGGTTATTTCAAAGGTTGAGAAAAGTGAGTGGGCATCCCCTATTGTTACTGTGCCAAAAGCAGACAAAACAATTAGGATATGTGGTGACTACAAACAAATTTCCCACGTGTGGGACTAATAAAGGTTATCTTATCTTATCTTATCTTACAAAGTCAGTGTCAACCAGTGTGTTGAAGAGGAAAGATATCCACTTCCAAATACTGAAGATTTGTTTGCTACTTTAGCTGGAGGAACATCCTTCAGTAAACTTGACCTTTCTCATGCCTATCAGCAGCTACAGTTAGATGAAGAATCAGAGAAGTATCTGGGCATCAAATTTCAAATTCAAATTTTATTTGTCACGTACACAGTCATACACAGTATGATATGTAGTGAAATGCTTGGACAACTGCTCGTGACCTAAAGAAAACAAAAAAAGGAAAAGGCTATGAATAAGATAGGAAATAAATATGAAAAATTAAAAAGGGTAAATTTTACTAGGAAGGAATAAAATATAAATTAAGGTTAAAAAGGAAATAACTGTACAACACAAATTAGAATGAAGGGTAAATTTAACTGGGAAAGAATAAGATAAAATATATAAATTAAAGTTGAAAATAAAATAACTGTACAACAAAATACACAATATAGAACTATATAAGAATGTATGAAGAAATATAAATAAATATATACACAATAACAGCAGTTGTACAAGTATTAACTGGAAATGAAGAATATAATGTCCAGTGTTGTGCAATCCACATTATGTCTTCTGCAGTGCAAATATGCTTAAACACACACAAAGGTCTCTATAAGTACAATCGCCTCAGCTATGGTGTTTCCAGTGCTCCGGCTCTTTTCCAGTCTGTGATGGATCAAATCCTTCAGGGGATGGAGCATGTGACCTGCTTTTTGGATGACATCCTCATCACTGCTTCATCTGAAAGGGATCATTTGAAGAGGTTGGAGGAAGTACTCATACGTCTGGAGAAGCATGGTGTCAGAGTGAAGCTTTCCAAGTGCCACTTTCTTCAGAGCAGTGTGGAGTACCTGGGACATCGTATTGACAGGGATGGTCTGCATCCTTTAGAGGAAAAGGTAGCAGCCATAGCAAATGCACCAGAACCAACAAACGTCACTGAACTGAAGTCCTTTCTTGGTCTTCTAAATTACTACAGTCGATTTTTGGAAAATCCATCCACCATTCTTCAGCCTTTGCATAACCTGTTGAGAAAAGATGCTACCGTAAATGGATTTGGACCATGGAATGTGCAAAAGCATTCAGGGATGCAAAAAGTCTACTGCTGCAGAACAAAGTGTTGGTGCACTACAGCACAAATCTGCCATTGAAGTTAGCCTGCAATGCATCACCTTATGGATTGGGCGCAGTCATCTCTCATGTCATGGAAAATGGAGAGGAAAGGCCTGTGGCTTTTGCATCAAGAACATTAACTGAAGCTGAGCAAAAGTATGCCCAGATAGAAAACCCTAACCCTTGCCATAAGTTTTGGAGTAAAGAAATTCCATAAATATCTGTATGGAAGGAAATTCACCCTCCACAGATCATAAGCCACTGCTGGCTATACTAGGGCCAAAGTCAGCTGTCCCAACACTCGCTGCACTAAGAATGCAACGCTGGGCTCTTATCCTAATGGCATACAACTATGACATTGAATATAGAAGATCAGCTGAACATGCTAATGCAGATGCATTGTCACGTCTACCTCGGAATACGCCAGAAAACATTGCCGAGGAGGGAAGTATCTTCTATTTCTCACATGTGGAAGAGCTACCAATAGTAGCTAAAGACATTGAGAGAGCAACCATGAAGGATCCAATCCTCAGCAAGGTCTGGAGCACACCGTGGAGTTAAATGGGATCGGACACACAGCTGTTCCTGCCTATCATCCTGCATCAAACGGGGGCAGCAGAGAGGTCAGTACAAATCCTGAAACGATCCCTGATGAAAAATGTGCTGGAAGCAGATGGTAAGGCCACATTGCCACTCAGTCATCGTTTGGCAAACTTCCTTATCATGTATCGCAGTACACCGCACACTGTGACGGGTCGTACACCAGCAGAGTTGTTCCTGAAACATCAGATCCGGACTCGCTTCAGCCTGCTGAAACCTGAACTAAGCAGACACATTGAACAGAAACAGTCTGAGCAGAAGCGACACCATGATTACAAAACCCAACCTGTTCGTGTTTTTTCAGAGGGAGACGCTGTGGGTATCCGAAACTTCAGGGGGGGGGGAAACAAAATGGACTCAGGGAACAGTTCTGAAGAAAATGGGAAGTGTTACTTACCTGATACAAGAGGGACAGAGAACACGCACAATACATGTGGACCACCTGTTACCATGGAGACAGACTGTGGAGAAACCCCCAGTTATATTTTCACCGGTTTCAGAGGGACGGCCAGAAGTGATTATGGACAGCGTTGTTCCAGAGATACCACCAAGTCCACCTGGGATTTTAACATCACACCCCTTACCTCCTGAACCACCTAAACAGACAACCGATGAACCACCAGTATCCACCCTAGAAACCACCCAAAGCCCATCTGTGGAACGCAGATACCCAGAGAGACGCAGAGTTCCCCCAAAGAGACTGAATCTTTGAAAATGTAGAGTTATGTTTTAGTTAT